TTCTGATGTATTCCTATGCCAAAATGTCTCACGAACTACAGTTTCATCAAATGCTGTGCTGTTTGCTTTCTTAGAGCAAAAGAGGAAATGAATGTCATACGAGGACGAAATTAACTTAATTGAGCCATTACCGCGGCCAGCTAATTTGTCAGTTTAAAAAGCCGTCGTTAAAATAAACACATTCATTAATCAGCGAGGGAAGCCTAGGCGAGAACAGAGAGCAAAGGAAGTTGATTGCAGTGAGTTTGACTCCTCCAGAGAAACAGTTACCCCTTTTGCTTAGGCTGCTGGTGACAAATGCGATGAATATGTAAACGTTCTTGAAGGCGCCGCAGCATTATGAGTGGGCACAAACGGTGCTGAGTTGACTCATTAATCTCATTCGCACCATAAAGTGTTTGGGCCACAAATTTCACAAAAGCCATTCTTCTAAAGTGTGACGTTCATCCCCCACTGTTCTCATCCCTCCCCGCTCTTCCATCATGTTTTTCATGAGTTGGAATGTCTCTAGGGGTCAAGCTAAGCCTCTGTGCTTTTTTTTCCCTACGAGTTTCATATTGTTTCCTGAGAGGGCAGGAAGACACAGATTAAGCTTAATTTGTCACTTTGTCCACGGGCAGCAGGACCAAAGAGACGGCGGCCGAGGATGATTACATCTCAGGCACGAGAGAAAGCTATCTGTCAATCACGTGGACATCTTTGCAGCAGATGTGGCAGCTCCACGGCTGACTCAGTCTTGGAAAAGAAACATTTATAAAATGTGTTTTTTTCATGAGAGAATTAAACGGTCATCCTCGGTCAGCCTTTCTCTAGCTTATCGCTTACCATCTGATATCTATTTCACGTTGTGCTTGAGCTTAAATATTTCAGACTATAAAACGTTCTTGCTTTAGAATTTTTCTTGCCTAAAAGGCGTTGTGGTGTTGTCGGGCAGCCTCACTCGAGCATGACCGTGTTTTTCCTTGTCTGTTCTTTAGGCTGACTCTCCGGTTAACCCCGCATAACTGGAACTCCTCTTCAGACGGCGGTTCAGAGGAGCTCTTAACCGTTGTCAAAATAAGTAGCTGGTTGTGAGTCTGTGGTCTGGCAGGCCGTGGATGTTTGCACAAAAGATGATGAATGCGCCCCGAGTCACCGCGTCAGCGTGTCTTGGCCTCCAAAGTTTTGCCGTGACACCATGGCCTCAGCGGAGGCTCCTCGTATATCTGAACGAGAACAAGCCCCCACTCTGTCTTCCTCTTTTTCACTCCAATCTCTCATCGCTGCACGGCTCAGTCCTCTGTATTAAGTGTACTGGACGTATGCTCGGGAGAAGTGGCACTTTAATTTTGCAACCTTTTAAAAATCAATCATGGGTCAGATCTCGCTTAACTCACCAAGGTTTAAAAATGGAAAACAGTGACGTGTAACCTGATTCCAGATCAGGTTTGGGGGCTAAAGAGTAACAGCAGGTCAAGTCTAATGAATGAGTAGTAGATTTTATCCCAAAGTACCTGACCTGTGCTGTGTTTTCCCTGCTTTGTTGAAGCAGCCATGAGGAGGGTCAGAGGAGAGGGGAAGCTGCTTTCAGCTCTGCCTTCAGGTTCAGTTTTCCTCCAATTTCTCTCCCTGCTACATCTGCCCCAGATCTCTGAGTTTTTAGTCATGAATGTCTAACATGGTTGGAGCTGATATTTTGCGTTCTGGAGTTGTGTAGAAAATGGTTGAGAATAAACAATAGTGTCAGCTTTTCAAAGAGAGACTAATGAAGTCAGTTAGCAACAGTATCGAGACTCCAGCATGGTTCCTCAGTTATCTGTGTTCGTCATTGATTAATTGTTCTTTCTGCTGTAGTTTTCTACATGGAGTCTTTAAGGGTTCCTCCAAATCCAAAGTGGAGGATAATTTAGCTAATAGTCGTATATTAAACCATATAGGAAATTTATTTATCCTGTTACTCTGGAAATCTTGCTAGGCCCTCTTTTCCACCCCTCCCAAAGGTCATGCCCTCCACTTTCTCCATGAAATGGCTGACGCTGCTGGTTCCTGACCCCAGCACCCCAGCCACCGTTTGCATGAGGCTTAGCTCTGTCCTTCTCATTGCCCGAGAGACATCAGTTATCTGTACTCAGAGGTTTTACTCCGTTTGATCCGTGCTTAGGTGGATACTAGCACTCTGTGTAAAGCTATTTAACTCTATAATACACTGCTGATAAGGCCCGGTTCAGTAAGTCGGCCCAAAGTAACACGGCGTCTCTGAGATATTTCTTGTCAAGCGAATAATGACCCTAAGCATGCAGGTTCTGAAGTATTTAAGAATTCCTTAGTGACTCCGTTCCAAACAGAATGAGTCTGTGTTTGCGGGGGAAAAGGCAGATTGAAATATTTCCGCGTTGCTCATTTGAGATAATAATGTGGTTTTGAAAGCCAACATGTCTTTCTTTCGCGTGTTTGAAAAATGTAACGCAAGCTCCCGGAGTTATTTCCGTAAATAATACGCCGGCACAGACAGGCCTCAAATTAATAGTATATTATCAAACGCTCAATCATAGCTCGGGCATTTCTTTAAACCAGCGTGGATTCCAGCCCATTTGCTATGAAAACAAGCGTGAGGTGTGTTAATGTTCCACAGTAGATGGGGCTGCGCTCAGTATGCCTTAGGCTGTTGGGGCATTGGCATGCAACCACAACACACCCCTGTCACCCCAAAACAACTCCCATAACCCCCTACATGCACGCACACACACAGACTACTTTCCATAATTGCCACCAGCTGAGTGTGCTGTTTCTACAAAGGCTGAGAAACACACATCAACCTCCTCCTCCTCCTCCTCCTGCTCACACACATGCAAACCAGTAATCTCTACTCTGACTTATGTACTTAGTGTAGCAGACAGCATCTATAAGAGTGTGTTAGTGTGCTGAGCATGTGTGCTGCATATTGAAGAATGTGTGTGTTTGGGATCTGTGCTCCTGAAGGTGCCCTGTGCTTTATCAGGCTGAGTAAACCACCAACGTGGAAAGTTAAATACACAATAACGAGAACTCAGACGCTCTGAAGGTCGCCGACAGGAACATCATCAAGCTTAATACTTACAGTAAGCTTGAGCTTTAATAAAAATTCTTGCATGTATCATTTAGGTGCAAAAATAATGTGCATCAAGACAGCTCAGCTGGACGTGCGTTATGTATTCATCCATTCCAAAACCTTGAATGATTGATGAGCTGCTTTCAACATTATAAAACACATCCACTCAGCTTAACTTATTACTCTGACGCATTCAAAGAGACTTGGATGACCGGAAATCATCTATACCGTAGTGATTCATTAGAATTCCCCTGCGCTCACTCAAAAAATACAGAGTCAGTGAGTAATACAGGAAAAATATCCCAACCGATTGGTCACATGTGCAAAAAGTTTATTGTTTCTGTAAATTTCGGGGAGACAGTATTGGACGAACATGTCTAGATAGAAAAAGTGTCTATGCTGTGTATGTACTGATGTCTTGGATCGTTCTTATATAACATTATTAAAAATGTATGTAGTTTGCCTTCCCATGTTATCACTACACCAGATTTAAAAGCTGTGTTTTAATTTTATTTTTTAGTTGCAGATGTCAAATGAAAATAAAAGAAACAGAGAGTGCGAGTTTCTTAAATCTTTGTTATACATAGTTGTGATCTTTGGAAAAGATAGTGAAAGCAGATGAGTCACAAGATGTCACAAGACAATGTGGTATCAATATCTCAATGAACTATTATTCTGAGAGCATTTTGGCTATTGTGAGTAATAACACTGACCGACTTCATTACCACTCACAACATTCAGCTCAGTTAGAATCTGTACTAATTGTTCCTAATTTTTCTCCTTTTCTTTGTTAAACATTTTGGCACATCTTTTTTGCTAGCACTTTGTTCGCGAACCATAATGTGTACCATGAAAACCATATCATCTCTCTACAGTGTGTCGACACATACCAGCATTTAGGCATTTAGGAGATTTACGGAATCACCTACACAGAATAAAAGCACTCACTATCTCATTGTACCTCATTACAAACACATCTAGACTCATATACATTTTGGTCAACATTTGGTAGATATGTTCAACCAACATGTGTCTCTTATTCTCATGATGCACCCACCCAATCAAATTCCCTGATTAAGATTGAGAGAGAAATAAATGGTGAATGTAGTGTCTGGATTTGGAGACATCAATCACCAGGTTGAAGCAGCCTGCAGAAGACACTGAGATACCTGTAACATGTAACACTGTTAAATCACATGAATCAGGTCTGGTCACTCCTGATGCTTCCACAGTGGCTTTTCAAAGTCTCAAGTCCTGACCTGTTTGTGAAAGTGTCACTTACATGACTTTGCGGTTGCAAATGAGCCTTTGATTGATTGATTGGACTATGGATTGCGATCAAGTCAGACAAGACATTTATGGTGCAACAGTAGCTGAAGGCAGTGACATGCCCACTTTAATTTCTTTTACTGACTGTTCAGTCTGATTTATCAAGATAAGCCCCCCAAAAAAGCAAGTTTTTCCTAATTGCCTGTGGTGGTACAATGTAAAAACACTTGTAACTTGGTGGTGATGCTGAGGTTGGTGGTTCAAGTCTGGGTTGGGCTGTGTTTGGGAGTGGTGGTTCTTGGGGTGGTGTTGCGATTGAGGGGTGGTGTCTCTCCTGGATGAGGAGCTGGTGATGAGACCCCTGAACTGGAGAGATGGGTGAGGAATGGGACCCATTGAGGAGGTGCAGAAGAGAGAGAGGAGGTAAAGGTGGCTTCTTTCTTATTTGGCCTTTTGTGTTTCTTAAAACTTCATGCTCTATAACCCTTACTGTCCTTCCCCACCCTCTTCATGCACCTTCTGACATTTTGATTTGATAGTCCAGCCAGGATACAACCCAGGACATTCCTACACCACCACTTGGGTCACTTATACCACCGAGCCACACAAGCTCACACAAGACTTACTTTTTTGTTATATTTGTCTTTTGTTTTTGGGCCTGCCAACAGTGTCAAGAGGCAAAATTGAACCCTAGAGCTTCAGCACCATAAACCAACGTGCTAACCACTACACCAGACAAGGACAGAACTCAGGTGGGTTTGCTAAGGCCTTGAGTTTCAAAACTAAGCAACGCGTTACCATGAACTAGCAACTAGGGGTCACTTGAGGACTGGAGGTAGTGTCCTCTTTAGACCTTTTACCCAGTGACCTAAAAAGGTGCCCTACTGAGCAATAGTGCTGGGCTTTAGTGTTTTATTTTGGAACCACACCTTTGCCATAGCTCCTGATCGTGACCCTCTGTCTGAGGCCAATAGTGTGATGCTTTAGTGAAGCCTGAAGAGGGTGCCGTGTGTGATTTTGTAGATCATCAGCAACCTGAGTTTCCCAAATTGGTCTAATGGGGCTGGGCAGTGCATTTTTTTTACCACAGCTTTGCCCCACCTCCTGATCATGACCCTCTGTCTGAGGCCAATGGTGGGATGCTTTAGTGGAGCCTGAAGAGGGGGCTGTTTGTGGCTGTAGATCAACTAGTAAAAATTGGCAAATTGGTCAGAAAGACAAAAAAAATGTCTGTGGAAACCTAAAGTTCCTATAGGTAACCATAGAACTGAGAGTGAGACAAAAATTCAGTTACCATTTTTTTTTTTTTTGCTTTAGTATTATGTTTTACCTAAATGCAAAACTGAGGACACCTGTTGCATGTCGAGTATGATGCATGTGTCCCTTCAGTTTAAAACATACAAATGCTTAATTTACATTAACCTAACCTCACTAGAGTTGATGATAGCGTTAATGATGAAATAACATTGGATAGTCATTATGAATTAACGTCTATTTGACACAAATAGTGTCCTTTAATTCAGTTTTATATCTGACTCCAGCAAGCAGCCAACTCTGAAGCTAGAACACACACGCTGTGTTACATCTTTCCAGGCTGAATCCAGCTCTTCAACCTGGGACGCATCGCTATAAAACTCCTCATTAACTACGGCCGAGCGCCTCTGATACAGATTTAATCACAGCAGTAAAGGAGCTTTATTAACCAAACACTCTTGCTTTCTCCAAACACTCTGCACAGTGCGGGGTTAAAGAGCTGGACTTCTTTTCCTCTCCTTTCCCAATGTTGACTTACTACTTGAAGTGCGGTGTGTGAGGCTGTAATCTCATTGAGATTTAATCTACATCTGTGAACTCACTGTACTGTAATAAGCATAGAGTTATGTGCTAACAGCATTCGTGTCTCTGCTACCATTACAGATCATTCATTAATCAAATTAACTGCCAAGGTATACAACTTATTTTCATAATGAGCCGAAATGAGTCAGACTCCAGCGAGACAAATCCGATCACCTCTCATTAACTCTTACGTTAGAGGTTAGCAGAGACTTTTCTGAATATTAAGGTTTGCATTTCTACAAACTTGTGTTTTAATTTGTGAAGGTTTCTGGGTCTCGTCAGAACATAATTAAGTAATATTTAGAAAATGGTGCGTTTTGGCTACAGTAATGTTCACAGAAATATTTCCAAAATGTTTGTGCGGTGTGATCAAACTTGTAATAACATTACAAAGAATACCATCATGTTTTCAGACCATTTCAGGCAATTTCTTTTACATCATTACAGCCTAGCTTTCTCTATTAGCTGAGCGATGACAATTATTATCAAAATCACACAGTAAACTGAAATACATCAGAACAGAGTCAAACTCTGAGTCAAAACTGATTTCCAGTATTTACTGCTATATCGACCCTGAAAAAATGGCGGTTAGCTGAACAGTCTCTGAGCATTATGGTTAACATTTTGAAGATGTTTTGATGCCTAGATCTTTCCGGTTTTGTTTTCTGAGAACACTTTTGTGACATTTCAGCAACATTTTTAAAGGTCAGAATATTAACACAAATTTTTAGAATGTTAGTTTGTGTCGAGCTGGAACTTTGTATCATTGAGGGACATCACATTGGTCTGTTATGGTTTTGAATTAGTCAAAAAATATTCTAATTTTCACACTGATAACATTTTCCATTAGCTTAGTAATCAAATTTACAAATATTATTAATATTATATATATATATATATATATATATATATATATATATATATATATATATATATATATATATATATATATATATATATATATGTATATAAAATGTATGAAAGTATTTAGGTCTGCTTTTAGGAGAATTGACAAAACTGTAGTGCTGTAAAGCTCTGAACAAAATCATTTTTTAACATAGAAAAGGAGATACAACTATATTTTAAAGTGTATACAGCTGCTTGGTCCTGCAATAGCCAAGACAAGTGCGTTGTGATAGAATTTTCACCATTATTATCTCAATACTGTATTGGTATATGACCTAGCCATGATTCCCTGCTACATTATATGAAGTAGTTTTAAGCATGAGGCGCACATTTTAATTTAGATTTAAACCAATCCCATTTGAAATATGCATTCAGTTTAATAACCTGCTTGTGATGCAGCATTTCAGCAGAGAAGGTCACTACTTCAGCGCTTCACAACACACATACACAGTACATGTGCTAGTTCCCTGTGCACGCCGCTTTAACCCTATGGGCTTGTGATGGAAACCAAATAGAAAACACAGATTACTGACCAGGCCAAATCCGCTTTGCCCAACAGTGCAAGGTGGAGCAGTCACGGACCCCGGCAAACACAAATCATTAATCGGATCATTAACCGTTTTAGCACTCTTCCCACCAGAACACACAGATTCCCACACACACACTCTGAGCTGTTTTCCTCCCAATAAAAGTGGAATTGCTCGTATAGATGTTTTGGTTGATCATATTGACTTCATCATGAAAAACTAAAACACATGACTGACTCGTCCATCCTTTACACGCTCAATCCTGAATGCATCTTCATTCTGCTGGAAACACTGCCTAAATTCTACACACACACACACTTACATACACAAGTGATATGCAGTCTCTCAGTCTTTTATATCAGCATGTATGTGTGTGTTGTGTTTTGTGAGTGTGTGTTGAACAGAAGAGTTAAAGACCATTTCTTAAAGATCACTTACCTCTCGTCTGCAGTGGTCCAGTTCTCAGCGTGCGTGCGTGTGTGTGTGTGTGCGTGCGTGCGTGTGTGTGTATTCCGGCAGTGGTTAGGGAGAGAGTGCTGGTGTATTGGTGGGTCGTGGACTGAAGGCTGCTCTGATGCCCATGGAAGAAGGAGGATTTGTCAGGATCAGGACGTGTCTCTGAAGTGATGCCTCTGTGTCTCCAGAAGTTGGAGGAGAACTTCACAAGTGTTGTTCTGCACGCTTTCTGTCCTGCTCAGTAGGATGGAGCTTTTCTATCTGTCTCTCTGAGTCACTCTTCTCCCCTCTGTCTCTCTCTCTCTCTGTCTCTCTCTCTCTCTCCCCGCTGTGTTTGAACTCTTGTTTCTGGCTCTTCTCCGTCACCCGCATGTGGATCTTATCAAACCGCAGGATTTCTATTGGCTCTGATCACCAAACAAATCAGACCAACTCGCTCTCACTCTCTCTCTCTCTCTCTCTCTCTCTCTCTCTCTCTGCTTCCCTTTCCTCTTGCTTTCTCTGACTTTATCCCTCTCTATACCCCCCCCCCCCCCCCCCCCCCCCCCCCCCCCCCCCCCCCCCCCCCCTTCTGACACGCCCACTTCTAGCTCCTTCATTTTTTAAAACATTCTCTCTCACACACACACACACACACTCGCACACAGCCGCTCATCAATGTGTCACCCCGAGTGGGAGGAGGATCAAAGTTGCATTTCGTTTCCAAAGCCGTGACTCTGAGCATAAAACATTCTCGTGATCCTGCATGGCTCTGAGGCAGCTTTATCACTTACAGAAAGCTCTTTAAACTCAAGAACCACACGTGCAGTCTTTACTTTCATTATATAATAGCTATAATAGCAGCTTCATCACTTTACATGCTTTTCCATGTAGTTACTGGAGTGGAAATGTGAAAGACCCTAAGCGGATAAATTCTTTAGAGTAAAAATATCTAGTTAAGAATATGTATTACATCAGGATGAAGATGTTTTATGAGGAAAGAGAGTGTTATTCTGGAGAACAGCTCCATCAATTATTAACTGAAAGAACAGAAAAAATGACTAGAAAAAAATTCTTTCAAAAGACTTTTCTTATCTTACACGATAAATGAAAGAATTGAGGTGTTAAATTGAACGTTATTACATCTGTCAATCAGCCAAACTATATGAGGCTCTGTGGTTATATATTTAATTACTGAGTTAATATTATTAGTTAGTGTATATTTTTTTTTCATGCTTTTAGACTTTTGTGTTATTTTTCATTCCAAACTGATCTTTATTTTGACTTTGAATTCAATGTAATTAATCCTTTTGAACCAAAAGTTCAGCTGAACAGATTGCAGTTGCTCCTTTCTTTAGCTGCAGAAATGAAGAAACATATATATATATATATATCTTCAATGCTGACTTCAATGTGGGTGAAAAATAATTCTTATGTCTGTGTCTGATGTTTCTGGGTAATTAAATGGATCACAAACATGCCGGTTGGTGGACTGGCAACTCTAAATTGCCCCTAGGGGTGAATATGTGTATGAATGGATGTGTATGATGCCCTGATATATTCCTGCTTCACACTCAGTGTCCTGAGATAGACTCCGGATCTCCAACAACCCTGACCAGGATAAAGCAGTGTTGATGAGTACTTGATAAGGTATGACTTATGTTGTTGTTATTATTATTATTATTATTATTATTATTATTATTATTATTGCTGCTACACTACACAATAGTTTACAGTCCATTGTGCAATAGCTTTCCCACACAGCACTGTTCTGTTGTCCTGTGTGTGCGTTGTTCTGTGTATTTATTGTGCTGCAATTGTCTCACACTGTTTATTGTCCTGCACTTGTCTCACACTGTATATTTGAAGTTTTTGTAGTCCTGTGTACTGTTATGTGTTGTACCATGGTCCTGGAGAAATGACATTTCGTTCCAGTGTACACAAGCTATATAGAGGAATGACAGTAAAACCCACAAGACTTGACTATTATTATTATTATTATTATTATTATTATTATTATTACTACTACTACTACTA